TATCTTTGTGGATGAACAAATTCCAAATGTTGCCGGCAATATGCATCTCCATTGTTTGTTCGTAACAAAATTTAATATAAATCTCATCATCGGATGTCAAACATTCATCCTACCGACAACAGTCGAGACCGTTTGACACAGCCTAATTTGTATAAAATGTAGAAAGGAATATTTGTAAAAAGTGACAAACAGAGGAAGTTGAACATTCTTCGTCATAAAAACAATGAAATGCACATAAATGATATATACCACCAAAGAAAACACGTTTCTTATAGAGTGACGAATGTAAATTATTTAATTAAATTCCGATGCCGATAAGACTTTCCTTTCTCAATTGAAAAATATATTTCTGTCGAGAGGCACATTGGGTATAAAAACAGTTTAAACATACAACGAGCTAAGTCGACTGGATGCATTTTCAAGACTTACGGCCAGGTAATCTAACACCAAGGACAAAATTAATCTACCAAGCCAATATCACCCTCCAGTAGTCACGGGTAAGACTTTCACCCTAATTCTACTTTTGGTTAGTAGGAAAGGTTAGAGGCGAGTCCCCCCGAGCCTCGCCCCACTTCTTCCGAAACCAGAAAAACTGCGACTGTACCCTTTACACCTGACCCGCGGTCCACGCGCGTATCACGAAACAAGGTAGAAAGAAACATGAAAAGCAAGCGAATAAACGAAAAACTTTCCGAATGGGGGCGATTTTCGGACATTGGGTCGATAATTCGGGACAGAGGGTCGTGGATCCGCCATCGTCCGCTCCGACGCTGGACAGGCGAGTTTCGTCCCTACGGCCATGCCTCGTGAACCATCCCTTAAGGCGCAAATCTCCATCGCATTATCTTGCGGGGTGGGTGGGGGGGAAGAATGGACGGATTCTTCGGTAATCCGGGAAAATTCCCAGGAGTGCGAGAGGGCATGATTGATACCCGAAAAAGACCTCTAAAGACCGAGATGGCCAGGAAGGGAGACCCAACGTCCGAAAAACGATATACATTATTTATGAGATGCTTTTGCCATACACGAGTAATTTGCGGGGTGATATACGCCGGGAGGTACAAGTCGCAGTTTATCCGGTTTTCGGAGTCGCAGCCGTAAATTACGGTTTGTTTCGAACGAGCAGAAGATGAGCAGGGATCGGTTTTTATAATTGTACGATTTTTATACGGTACGCTTTCTCGGTCTATTTTGATTTAGATTTCCCTTCGAACAACGGTACGTTATTAATTCATGAATAAGTCGGAGCTTTATAGAATTTCCATATGTGATCGATAGCTGATGTGATAAGGGTGTTCACGATTTGAATATTAAGCTGCGGATTCATTTTAATACGAGCTTCGGAACATTTTTGTTCGGTAATAGAATTTGAATTATACATTTTTCAGTATGATGTGTATATTTTATTGAACCAATTTTTAGGGGCCAAAGTAAGTTCTTCCAACTATGGACCAGACAGATTCTTTGATGAACGCCTTTCAAAATATGGAGAATTATCTATCGTAAGATGTTCGTTTCAACCAGACTGTACCTCTCTATTATTATTTTTTCTCACTTTCGGCACATTGCGCATGAGAACGCACCCGCGCATGCGCACTGGGGAGATACCCTATCGCTTAATTTTTCCATGTTCGGTTTCTAACAGATAGGAGAAGCCTAGCTTGAACGCAGTGATACGTAAAGTCGCCGATCCCTGCGACCGAGCAGAAAGCACGGTATGAGGGGAGCTTTTTGTTTCCTTTGATCGAAATGGTGGCCAAGTTTCGGAAGTGGAAGATGGGACGAAGCTCTGACAGGTGGGGGAAGCTAAACGTGGGAAAACAGCAGGCAAAAGCTCGGGAAAAGCGGAGAAAGCCTTTCGGGATGGCAAACGCATTTCTAGTTTCTCACAAAGTACTGTTAAACAGAAAAGACTCGTGGTGCCTTTAGCGATGGAAACAATTTTTATCGTACGGTTCATAAAACATTAAAACTCCTCGTGTGATTTTAGTGGAATCATAATTTCAAACGTTACGCGTGTAAGCTTTGACAATTGCTCAGAATTTCAAGAATTTCAAGACTTCTGAAATATTGGCTGAAAAAATTCTGAAATGATGACAGGGTCAAGTGATAACTAAATATATAAATTCATGAAAGAATGTATTCATTGTCACATACATTATTAAATAATAATAGAAATATTTTGATAGATCACGTTACATTTAATTGACGTACTTTTACGGAAGTAAAGTGATGTTATCCGCTAGCTATCACAATGCATTGGCTGGGTCAGATGCCAATTACCTTCCTGCATATTTTTTATAATGCCACTGTATGGACAATTCTGCCGCAAAAAAAACCAACAACAAATATCCGAAAATGCGAGGAAACATTTCGAAGCTGCACGAGTCTTTTCTATTACCGAAGGAACAGCATCGGAAGTGGGGCAAAGGCGTTCAGAAGGACATCGAGGGTGGAGAGAAGGGTCGAATAAAAGGGTGCCCGTTAGGGGTGGATGGAATACGAGGGTGCAGGGTAATAGGTTTTCATTTTGGGCAGATAGTCACGTGATTCGTGGCCTTCGCGTTATCGAGAACCTCGAAAATCCCAGTATCGGGCGTAACAATCGACCCGCTTGACCTGAATCCTTCCCCGACATCCCTGCAACTAATTATTCCCATTTCATCCCCTATTTCGATCTACCAGTCCATACGCAGGACTCCTATCAACGTTTCGCTCTCCCCATGGTGACATTTCCGAAAGCAACGACGTAATACAATTCCATGCATAGGCAGCCTTAAGAGAAAGGCTAGACATCCAAGCGGTTAATCGCAGGGGAATTTTATCGAAACTTAAATATACATGTCATTTGTTTAAATCGAGAGGAAATAAAATTTCAATTTCCAGTAATTTTCACTATCACGAAACTTTGAAAATCTGGAAGGGAATAATTGTACACTCTCGGCTCCGTTTTTGATAGCAAACTTAACGAAATGTTGCATTACTTTTTATTCCTGTAATTTAAATGAAATCAATTCTCCCTAGATATACCGGTTGCATCGAATGATTTTCTAAAGCCACGTTTAATCTTTAACACTCGGGTCGCTCGATTCATAACTTTCCTCGATCCCTGTAAGTTTCTTTTTCCTCCCCCTTAATTCCCTATTTCCGTCGAACAGCCCAAATGCAGGACTCGTACATGTTGTCTCGTTTGAATCGTTTCATGATGATACTTTCGAAAGCAATGAAAACACGCGCAAGTGTTTCCGTAGTTAGATCTGGATCGATGGAAACATTACTGAGAATAAGTTGTTAAGTGAGATCGAAGGATTTCGAAAAAATAATTGACCTTAAACACATTTCGTGACGTTTGAGCTACAACGAATACGTTTATAATTTAATTTTGCAATGCCTCTCTCGAAACCGCGCAGACTTTATATAAAATACTCGATCGCGTCCCTATTACTTTAGAACGTATTACCATGGAAAGATTAAAAAGACACTCTGTATAAATGTACGCATCGGTAAATACCTATATATACATATTCCAGTTTGAACCGTGAACCGCAAGGCGGCGCTACGGTTACTGGCCTTTTTCTGCAAGCGCATTAGGGATGGACACTTATCTTTGAAATTTCGCAATTCCATCCTGTCCAGGGCATAGCTCAATGCATTTTGCAGTGAACACATATCATGAGTTACAATCCGTATGAGACAACTCAGTAAATAACGATAAGTCATAAATCAATGAAGTAAGTGAGGACTGCGTCTGCACCGAGGGAACGGTATCCTTTACAGGAATAAATACTTATAATATATATTCACTTACAGTAAATATTTATGTACACGTCGATATTTATTTAATAATTTTTGATCGTGTGCTTATTAGTTAGGGCATTTTTTGGCTTTACCGATTAAGTTTTCTCCCTGATATATCGAGAAAAATCCTCCTTGGTCGTGTGAAAATGGCCCCCTCTGGAGGTGAAACGTGTAAAGAACGAACCAGTTGTAAATAAAATAAATTACAGAATCGAAGGTCCTTCGTAGATCGTCCCCGACGAAGAAGGCCTATTTCCCAGACCCGGACTCTAAGATTCGTCTCATTAAGCTAAAGAATCGGACCGGCTCGAGTAACCCGGAGTTAATATTTACACATCTTCCGCATTCGATTAACAACCTTATTTAATATATATAATAAGCTGTATCTCCCACCGACCGACCTCGTCTCTTCAAGATATATATATATATTATAAATATAAAGATAATTATCTGAGTGTTGCCCACAACGAAACCCTTGTTATCATATTTTTTACATCCAATCCCTCGTTCCATTCCACTTCATACGTGACCGAACACCTTGCGCGTAACCCTTCCCGAAAGAAGAAGAAAGACAACTACCGTACTCTCCTCGACGTTCCTACTCGATAGTCCAAATCCATACAAAAATACCACGTGGAAGTAACCCTCCTTCGACGAGAGTCATTACCTCCCAGTCAGCCCGGTAACTCCGTCGAAAAGAAACCATGCCAATCCCAAGAAAATCCCTCGAACGTGTCACCTTGTTCCCTCAGCGCAGCGATCAGCTGATTCGGCAGTCCCGCCTGCGCGCGCGTCCGTGATAGCCGTGACGGCCGCGATAGCCGCAGTACCGAGGGGAGGAAACCGCGCGCTCATCCCTGCGGCGCCGCAGCCGTCCAGGTCCCACCTCGGTTGGGCCCGGAGTGGTTCGTTCCGTGGAGCGGCGCCGTGGCTGGGGGCCGGGGCCCTTTCGGCTCGGCCCAGAGTGGCTCGCGCTCGGGTTAGCGATTAGGTTAGCGTTAGCGTGCGAGCGGGGGGACCGGAGTTAGTTCACAGAGGCATGGCGTTGTAGAGGTCCAAATTCGGGTGGTAAAAGAGCGCCGCGGGGGTCGGTGGGTTGTGATGGGCCGTAGGCGGCGCCTGTACGTGGCTCAAGTTCAAGTTGACGGGGGCGATATGGGCCGTATTATGGTGGTTAAGGTGGTTAAGGCTAAGATGGTTACCTGTCGGGTAGGGCAGTCCGAAACTAGGGTACCCGGAATAGCCGCGGCCTGCCGCGTATGCCGCGTACGCCGCCGCTGGGAAACCTGCGAACAGACCGGAAATCCTCGTATTAGATGCCACTCGACATGCTCCTTCCGGACATGGACGGAATTTTAATCGGAGCCGGCGTGTACGCGTTACGTGAAAGTGGCCTCTCAGGTGCCGAATTATTTATAAAGCTTCTCTCCAAACGGGGTGCAACGAATCGTTCGAGACTTTCCTACGTGAATATGGAATACAAGGAAATATGTGACGCGCTTGAGATTTCATTTTTCAAATAGAAATTTTTATTTCTCCCAGACTGGAGTAATGTGGCGCAGGCGGCACATGTTTTTGATATTATACGCCTTTAGGGCGGGTTAGAATCGATAACGAAGAATTTTATGACTTAGTCGTAATGATTTGGAATACTATGGTAATCGAGAATTGCAGATTCACGTGACGGATATGGAGAAAAGATTTATAAATCCGTGCAGTGAAATTCTCAGGTATTCCGAGAGTGACGCGGGTTTTGTAAGTGCTCCTGGGTACAAAATTTAGTTGCCGCTAAATGTAATAGTGCATCGAAATAAATTATGCATGGACGATAACAAGTATGAAAAATCTTGAATCCAGGGGACTTCTTGAGTTTTACTTCGATCTTTTTATAATCATTCTATAACGAAATGACGTATATAACACACACGTAACATCGGCACCATGTTATGTGTCATGTTAATATTATATTTCTAACAATGCTACGGAACGGTAATAATTACATATTATACAATGTCAATATGGTTTTAAATCATTTTCGTTATATATCATGTTACTTTAGTGTTATGTCATTGTAGCATAGTGTACTTGGTGAGTGCACCGAATGGAAGAATCCTTTTTTACCGATATCGATTACATTTCTTGGCACCTTAAAAGCGTAATCGTTTGCTAGGGCCCTCGTTTGGGGGAATTTAATAGGCCGGGAATCAATTACCAGTTGCGCTGCAGATTTCCAAGATAGTTTGTCGATAATTGGCTTGTACGGGCACCTGCGACTTGCGGACAGTCCGTTGGATTTGTAACAATGGTCGACATTCAATTACGAACAATTACACCTGGTATATTAATTACCTCTTGTAATTAAGAATCGATTATCGGTCACATCTACGACTTTTAGTTAGCTCATTGTTAACTGCAAATTGTAAGCTCTACGACTAAACCCCTGCGAGGTTTGATTTTCAGGGTAATAAATTTATAAATATTGCAATAATACTTGAAGACTCAAATTACAAGAAAGATGTTATGTATTTTTCAATGAACGTTAATATATGTCATTGGTCACTGAAAAAGAGAGAAGTTATTAGAGTTGTCAACCAATATATATTATATTAATTCACGTTTCGTTATTTATTGGTCATTCGTACAGTAACGATACGTTATCTCATTGTCGCCCGGTTATTAACCGTGATTAGTAATTGATTTACGAACATTTGTCATTTATAAGCGCAATTGGTAATCGATTTTCTGCCGACTCCAAATTACGCAATTGACCATTAATTCCTAGTTATTTTCAGGTCGTTGTAATCGATATTGTTGGTTTTCCGGTCATTAGGCGATACACACGGACAACGATTAATTGCTCGTCCAATTGTTGAAACTTGTGCCAAGTTTGAAATTAAATTCTGAACAAACATTTACAGAGAAGCAGTAAAAATCTATATTGCAGCCTATATCTGATTGTATTCGAGAGTTCATGCATTTTCAGTATTACTCACCATCAGGTAATGCTCCCAGGGACCACATAAAATCTACAAGGAAAAACAGATCGATTAATAACAAGTACTTTGATTATTTGCCGAGCATTACTAGCGTTTCGCATTGTCTTTTTCATACTTTTCACTTGATTACTCTCATATTTGATCAAATTCTTTCGACTTGCGTCGGTTAGTGTGCTCGTATTGGTTGGTGCATGTATGGGGACATAACGCGTGTAGAAGGACGATACGGAAAAGTTGCACAACCGTCGTGCTACGCGGTTGTACAAGCTTTGTTGGGAGAGGGTAAAAGGATGAGGTTTCAAGTACGAAAAAATAAAAAACAAAAAAGGCAGGCAAAAGTGATATAGCGCGCGAGAGAGAGAGGGGAAGAGAGAGGAAGAGAGTGTCCCAAGTTAGAAGTTCCGTATCAAAGTGGGCATACATAATATTTATGAGCTTTGCAGTATTTTATATTTTATATTTAATAGCATCTTAGATGACCTATCTTTCTATATTTAAACCAATTTCTTGAAAATAGCATTACGAAGATGATCTCGTTTAAAAGTTATTTAACCTCGTGGTAGACAATAAGTAAAAAAACGTCTATTTTAAAATCTCAAAATGGTTGGGTTGAATAAATCGTATCAACATTGTCAATGGTCTTCGATTTGTTATATGACGGTGAAACTCCCTAAATCGTTAATTGCGTTACGGAAGAAACGACTCCGTGCAATGAAATGTGTAAAATTATTGTTTTGTGTTATTCTCAAAAGAGTTCTTATTCTTTTCTTGAAAGAATCTATCCAGGCACGGAATGATATCCGATGACTTTTTCTACCCATATAAAAGTTTATAAACATTCTGTAGGACCACTTCTTCATATGGTGCACGAGGAGGGATTCCATTTGATAATTTGACCAGACTGTGGGAGAGACAGACAGAGAGTCGAGGACGAGGGAGAAAAAGAGAGAGAATGAGATAGAACGACACGCCGTTAAAAATGCTCCACTGTGCGATGCACTGTAAAAAATTCGGCATTAAACCCCACACCGTCGATTTTAGCACCGAATTCCCTACAGCGAGGGTGCAGCCCCGTGCAGAGCACACGTCGATGTTAAAGTCATGCTCGTGTACCCCTTTTCATGAAAATCGCGAGACCGCGGTCGCGCCCCTCTAAACATTAGCACTCTTTCAACACCGACGTGTGGGGTGCAGTGTGCTCCGCATCGCTCGCAGTGCGACCATTTCCTTCGTCTTCAACAGTGCAGAGGAGGAGAAGAGAGAAGAGAGAAAAGAAAAGTCCGAGAAGCTCTCTAGGTTGAAGATAGGCATCCATGAAATTTCATAATCGTTATACTAGTGAAAACCACACAACTAAGACTCCGACTATCGTTCGACTAGCGCTCGAGACTAAACTGTGACTAGTGACTACTGCGCGCGGCCGAGGATATTCCAATCTCTACCAAATTACACTTCCCTATGAGATATCTATGGTTGTAATAGCCTCCAACGAGTGGTATTGGTTAATCCATTAATGAGTTACCGTTAACTATACGTGTGTGATAGGCTAGGCTCTCTATATAGCTTATTAGATATGGACTAAGGATCAGCAGTCGCCCCGCCATTATGTCTCATGGGCTCTTTCTCTCTTCCTGAGGGTTCCCACGTCCCTCGGGATCCCCCCAGCTCCCCACTGAGAGCCACGACGCGCAGTAGTGGGAATGCGACGAGTCGAATGTTCAACTCAAACTCGAGTCGACTCGAGATATTTTCACTGTAACTCGATTTATCGGTCCGAACGAATGCGAGGTAAGACTGCGCGAGCGAGGCCGAGTCACTTACGCCGTTAAAAATATTAACCAATTTCACGCAATTTTAATACATGAGGTTGTGGTATAAATGACAAGGAGGATGTCAACAGTGAATTAATATATATGTATATATACATATTTATATATCTCTCCCTATATATAACGTGCGTATTGCCATGGTCCACTCGGTAGGCAACTCAAAATACAAATGTACGACTATCGGCATTCTAATTTTGTACTTATATTGTAACGTTGGTGCGGCAATGATTCTGATAAGGAACTCTCGGTTCTGATTACGGAAAGGNCTAAGCGCTCCTAAGTCCGAGCCTAAGTCTTCAATAAGGTACTAAGTACAGACACGAGAGTTTACCTAGAACCTACATATGCTCCGATATGTATATATGTATATATACATATTTATATTTATTTATTACGAATATTTAAGGTGAAGCAAAAGTGAGGTCGAAGAGATCTCGTTTATGAAACTTTCCATCGAATTGGGTATACCGGATCGTTTCCAATTTTACAATGTGAGTATGCAGGCTAATATATTAAAAAATGTTCCCAAAAAGTAAAATTTCACGGGTGTCAGGACCTTTCTTATAGCCTTAATATTCACATTGTTAAGTTTCAAATGATTCGACGCACCCAGCTCGGAGAAAAGTTTCATGAACGGTTGACGTATCAGATGCCACTTTCACATCCCCTTAAATAAATTTATGATTTCGTAGCACCAAGTAAATTTCTTTGAAAAAATTTGATAAAATTAGTATACCAGAGTGAAACATCCAGGAAAACTGTTATTAGGAACATTTCGTTTTAACGGTGTACTCGTACCAAAATATTGACCGCGTGTCATTCGTTTACTCGAGTCGTTTGACTCTTAAATTATAATAAATCGCCAAACTCGATTCGCAGCGTCGAATGTATGCTGAGGATTTCTTCCTTCTTCCACCGATTCTCGACTCGAGTCCAAATCGGAGTCGGCATTGTTTTCGAGTAACGCGAGTTGACAAAGCATTCGACTTGTCGCATCGCTCCGTAGTAGCAATACTCGGGCAAATTGAGCTTCGAGTCCACGTCGAGGTTTGACCGTCCGAACGCATCGATTCTAAGACCGTCGACAGGCTTTTGCTTTTAACAGACACAAAACGGGTTGCGAGTACGTCACTGTGCGGCAGCCATAATGCGGGCAGATTGCTGAACGAACTACGACACTTAGATCGACCATATTTACGATAAGATTAAGAAAACACCGAGCACAATTCTACACTACGTAGTCACTATTCTAGAGCCGATATATGTATATATGTATAAATATATATATAAATATATTGACTTTGCTCTCACATTACGCATATTAAAGAATATACAGCTTTATTCTAACCACTTTAGATACACTGATACATATTAATAGTATTAGTGATTTCGTACCTAAGTCGCTACCGGGCTGGTTTTGATTATCTCACATCGCGATTCCCGTGTGCTCTCATATTCGGTCATTCAATGTTTTCGATTGAGACTCAATGAACGGTATATGTATATCTATATTTATACGATACTTGCATATGCTTGGAATAATTTTTAAATCGATTTATTCATCGTCCTCTCGTATATATACTTTTATGTCTCTTTTTCTCTATATATATATATATGTAAATGTGTATAACTAAAATTTATATACATATATATATTCTTTATCTAATCATTTATACACGCTCACGCGACGGCAAAGCTTCGCGTACCGAATTATTTGCGCTCGAGGTCTTTCTCTTTTCCCTTCGAAGTTCCAGGCTTCGTTGTCGATACGAGTCTCGGAGTGAGACTTTTTAGAGTCGATGTATGGAAACCGAGATTAGTTCGTTAGGAGATTTCGGTTTTGCTCGATATTATCATGACAAGCCGTCATTGAGCTTTTCGACCTCAACCTCGCCTCAGGGACGAGGTTGTACTTGTGGAAGAGGGGCCTACCGTCGAGTAGTGTCGGGCGAATTCTTTATTCGTTATAGTTTTAATCGTAAACGAGGAAACGGTAACGCGTAATCTCCGAACAAGGAACTCGGAAGTGTCTCCAGTCAAATATATTTCCAGCGAGAAATTAGGAAAACGCGGTAGGAAAGGAATTACTAATTGCGTTTGTGGAATGCGATTGTCCTGATTCGGTGGAACGATAGCTACGAATTATATTCTCGTCATTTCCATGGTTTCGTTCATTCAGCTCGTCATGAGGATAGATGACGGATTTGTAAGTGAACGTAAAAGTTGAAATAAAATGTCACGCTTTGCATTTCCTGGGAGGATGAACGTGGATGAATTTCTGATAATTGTATAAACTACTAGATCTTTCACGCGAGCCAATTAACGGAGCAGGATTTAGCCACAATTGACACGTTCTTGGAAATAGATATTCATCTTTAAATTTGTATATTGAAGACTTGTCATGTAAAAAATCATTATTTTTCTCCAAGTTTTGCTGAATGAAGAATTCCAGATATCTGGTAAACGAGGAAGCGAAACACGTGACTAGTTAACCCGGTGCAAGCCTCGTGTGGGATTGACAAACTAAAAGCAGTGCACGTTATAGTCTTCAACGGTAACTATTAACGATTAAGTGCAAGATCCTAATTCTCGTAAAAATCCCTTAAAAAGAATGGAACTGTTCATATCTCGTAATAGGTTCCCTTGAATGATCGCATTCCAATCTTATGAACCGCGTGCACTGTCCAAATTATAAATCACAAAGCCAAGTGACGGGTCGCGTCAATCGATCCAACGAACGAGCTGCAAGTGGGATTTCTAATTAGCCCAGGGCGAATTCCAATTAAAAACCAATTGAAAGTCTAGGCCCGGGTTAAATCCGTCCAATTTGTGTGGGGAAAAAAAATAGAAAAAAAAAAAAAGAAAAAAAGAAAACGTAATTCGCAATTCGTTTCCTAGGACGACCAAATGGAACCCGTAATTCGCCGCGTCGGTCAGGTCACAAATGACGAATCTAAATAGTAATTAGACCGTAACGAGATCGGTTACCAAAGGCAACCGGCGCATCAGAGCCCATCACTACCGTCGAGTAGCGGCCGGAAGAGGGTGCCAGTCGCAGGGGTTAAAAAAGCTAGCCGAACGAGAAGGGGGAAATTTCGGTCCCCGAAAAAGCGTCGCGACGCCAAGGTCCGACCGAACCCAATACCCGGGCTGCTACCCTCTGGCCGTCCGAGTGCTCGGTCCCTCCTCCGGATCAACGCG